TGGTTTTAAGAGAAATACTGGAATAATGCAATTGATGTGATTAGAAAATAATTGTGATCAATGAATGCTGGGACAAGGATTGATGCTGAGAACAGACGCTCTTTAGATAAAGGAGATATTGCTCATGATAGGATTTGGTTTCCTGAAGCTAGAAGGCCCTTTATTTTTCTTGTCTGTTTAGACAGCAAAGTTGCAAATGCATAATGGAGAATTCAAACTTGGTAGGCTTTGGTTTCCCATCATTTTCAATGGGCTTTTATACTGGTATATATATAAAAACATACACACAAAGAAATAACATAAACATAGAAGAGATCTGCTGAAGTTCTGAATTTAACCGACACTAAAGTGTAAGAAAAACAAAACTTACTTTCCTAATGGAATAATTAAAACGAGTGGTAATATGGTGATGATGTTAAGTAACTGCCAATCTCTTACAACATAAGCTATCCATGGGTAGATAACTGAAAATACAACGTAGCCTGTTGTCCAACAAACAATCACCAGTGTTCTTTTTTCTACACCAATGTACTCCAAACCTACAAGAAAGGTACAAAATGATTCATACAAGACATTAAAATAATTTCTGTCACGACATACCAAAGGCAAGAAAGCATATGAAAAGTACATTTCTTGATTTCAAATAGGTTTTCTAAATTGATATTATTAGATGGCTGAAGCCAAAATTAGCAGTAACTCTAATGATAGGTAAATACACATTAGTGTGTAAAGTAATTTAAAATAATGTAAAAGTGTAAAAACTATTATTCATGTACATTTTTTGTTGTTCCATAATGGTAGATCTAAACTTTATTTTAGCAGTAATTACTTTTGCTAGCCTCTTAAGATGGGTAGAACTTGAACATTAATCTATGAAATTCAAACTCCACTTTATGAATAAATGTAAAAATTCTGCTGATACTTACATTCATTCTTTTCTGTTTCATGATGAAATTTGTGCTAAGCTACAAAAAATGTAAGTTTAGATCAAAGTTAATATCAGAAAAACTAATATATTAAGAGCTTCTTCTGTGATAAATTAGTTTCAAGGAATTTTTGGTTTGCAAAAGTTAACTAAGTGAGCTCAAGTAGTAGAAAAAAAGAGGTGTGCATTACTTCTTAAGAATTTTATTGGTAACCATACACATAAAGGATTGATTATGAAAAAAAGTATGATCACACTGGTTCTAACACATTACATAAATCTGACAAGCAACCATATAAGGGCATACTTGGCAGTCTTCCAACAAGTACTTGTTCTTAAGTACTTTTATTGCAGCTATGAATGAGAAGGTCATTTTTGAAGCGAGTGCTTCTAAGAATTTGAAGATTTGTTTTTGAATGAAGAAGAAATATTAACAGAGATATCCAAGTCCTACCTAAAATGTATGGGTCTTCTGATAGTGGAATAATGCACGCTCCTACAAAAAACCTCAAAGCAGCAAACACTCCAAAGGAAGTTGAAAAGGAAGAACTAATGCCAGCTAAGAAAGCTATCACATAACTTGCAATAATGGATGGTCTTCGTCCAAACCTGAAACCATACAAGGTTTACAGAGAGACAACATAATGAAAATATTTTTTTAGAAAATTATGTCAAGGTTTATTATAACAATTACATAAAATTCAGTAGGTATAAAAGTTAAAATTAAACATTATATTATCAAACACTGAAAATATGAAGAATTACTATGAAAAGTTAATTCAATTAAATACATCAAAATTTTAATTAATTAATTTTATTTCAGTTTGTATTGGTACTTTCTCAAAGAAAATACTAAGTTTACAACCCACATTCACAACTTAAGTGTTTGAAATAATGATACACTATTCAGTATAAAAAGTAGTTAAAATAGGATGGATGTTAAAAATATATATATTCATGAAAAATAAACAAGTTTCACCTTATATAATGGCATAATCTAATTTTATTGAATATAAATAATGCCATGTAATAAAAAATAATTGTATAAAAAATTACATATTTAAAATAATCCAGAAAGAATATCATTTAAAAGTTCCATGTTAAGAAATATTTTACAGCTATAATAACAAACACAAATGTTCTGATACACACACACACACACACACACATATATATATATATATATATATATATATATATACATACATACAAAATTGAAAATTAAACACATAATCAATAATAAATTCCTTGATTCTTAATACTATGTTGCACAAATAAAAGTCCTAACATGTTTATGGAATGCAGACCTTCCTCTTTCATGAAGTGTAAATTGTGAGAGACAAGTGGTTTTCAGTGACATCATGAGTATCTATGACAGTCCACTTCAAAAACAAAGTATTTAGTTTGGAGGGGAACGTTGCAGGTAGAACAATAGTTTAAAGTGTATAAAATGACTGGAAAAGGAAATAAAGCAGAAGTGTTTGGAACAAACAAATTATTAGGAAGAGGACCATTAAAAAACAGAAATTTTAACAGTAGCCTAGGAACAAAAATTGATTACAAATATGTTTGTTTTGTTGAATTTCATGCAAAGATACAAAAGCTATCTGAACTAGCCATATTCCTAATTTTAAAGTGATAGACTAAAGGGAAGGTAGCAAGTCAATGTACCAATTGCCATGTTTTGGCCTACTCTTTAACAATGAATATTGGGATTGACCATTGCATATAATGTCCCCATTCCTGAAAAAGCAAGCATTTTCACATTGGGTTTTGATCCCACAGCCCATAGATTGAAAGTTAAGTGTACTAACCACCAGGCTATGCTAGGCCTTACAAATATAGATAATAATTACTAAATGACAAATAATTATAATGAAATAAATGTTATACACAAAAAATAAGAAATCACATTTTAATGATAACAAAAAAATTAAGATAATAACATAAATAAAAAAAGGCTCTCAGATGGATATGACATGAGAGAAAACAAAATATAATAATCTTTATCTGGGCTTCTTCCACCTTTCCAACTGTTTAATTTCTATAAATCCAGTTTCTTACACAAGTGTATAAAGAGAACTAGATCATTGATAGAAAGGTCAGGCGGTTTAAAAATGCAGGAATCACAAATATTTTTTTTTATTGTTAAAATTTTATTGATTGTTTAAATACTCTCTAAGAGTCATTTATGTTTGTCCAGCATAAAATAATGGTTACATTTTACTTATTTTTTTACAATGTGCATTGTGTAAATCTTTAGTAATTGTTTAGGGCTTTTATTTATTTAATTTATAAAGTATCAAAGTTTCATGAATTTGAAAATACAACAGTGAGAATAATAACTATTTTGTGATGGAATGTTATTAACTTGAGCATGAACTAGGATAATTGAGATTTTTAATTGGGTATTTTAAGGAAATGTATTTTAAATTATCATTGAGACAGAGTAATTTGAAATGCCTTATCAGAATATGCAATATGTTTTGATAATTAAGATGATAGATAACAGAAGAAATTCTATTTGATTCTTTAATACTGTTTTGTTTAAGAGTAGTTTCTCTTTAAGCTATTTTAGCTTATTCAATCTTTCTACCAATTTCATAATATTCATAACCTTTTTTGTATGATGTCTTTATCTTTGTAAATTTTTTAATGTTTTTATTAGTATAAAGTTTGTTAAGACAGATGGCATATGATATTTTAATTACTATGGTGAGAGAAAATTATTATTTTTTGTGGATATCATGATCTGTTGGCTTATTTTTTATATAAGCTGGTGTGTAGAAGATGGGCTTTTAAAAATAAACTAACATCAGAAGTACTATCATGCGAACAAAACCTGAAGTAAATTAGTACCAGCTATCCAAAAATCAAAAGAAGATGTCATCAATGCAACATGTTATTTGAGGTTTTACTATGCTTTTCCTTAAGACCTGGTTTTCAATGTATAACAAATATAAAATATTACCAAAAAAAAAAGAGCCATCACAGTACTCATTGCAGATCACTTTGTCTGAATGTAACACTTCTTGCTAAGTTTTTAAAATATAAAACAATATGAGATAGGTCAATAATTAAGATTTGGATGGATAGTAAGGTTTAGAGAAATCTGGAATTTATAGTCCTTCATCACGTGTATAAATAGAGATGTCTAAAGTACACAGAAGTCTATTGGAAAGTAATAGTTTGCTGTCATTAGTTTCCATAATGATGCTGATAAATGTGTTGTCTCTTTAATATAAAAAGGAAATATAGTGTGATGTCATTTATGATGTGGTAAACATAAACAGAAAGTTTTAGAAGACCATATTTTTTGTAAGAAACTACAGGTTGATAAGAATTATACAGAAGGTTTTTAAAGCTATATTAAAATGACTTTGAATATACAAATCAACAATTCAAGTGGCAACCACAGCCGATATAGTCACAGTGGAATGGAATGCATCAAAAACACATTTTGACATGTCTGGCATTTCGTAAGTAGTGTGATGCAAAAGAAAAAATAAACAGAAAAACTGACCACTACTGGAAAAAATATGTATCATTCCTTTCTAACACAAAATATTCATACACTCAGATCATAAAGATATGTTCAGACCAGGGATTTAGAATTTTGAAGATAAGTATATCCCTTGTACTTAATGGCATTTGAAAGCAAAGGAATATGGATCAACTTGGGGAACCAGGATGAGACCTGCAACAAGTCATTTCCCAACCAGGGTAAGCAAAGTGTGGTATGTAAGATGTAAGAATCCAATAACACGAAAGTCAGTGGCAAATGTCATCCATGTGCTCCAAGCAACAGTACACAACATAATAAAGAAAGATCTACTTTTGGAAATGAGTCCAACACAGTATGGATTCACCAAGATAAGGCTTCCACTTATACCTTCACTTCAAAAATCATACACCTGAAGCAGCTAAAGAATGAAGTATATATTCATTCTGTTCCATATGAAGATATACCATTTAAGTTGCCAGATACAGCACCTATGGATATCTACACACTCAAACTGATAAAAAAGGCACTGGGAAACTACCATTCTAGTACACTAGATAAATTATGGAAAGTAATCAGGGAGGAAGTGTGTGCTCTGGACATGACAGTCTTCTTATGACAGAGCCTTTTGCAATGAAATTACACTGCACGGCTATTGTCAAGATGCATTGTTGTCAGCTAAAGTATGACTGGATGTGGCAACATCAACTGTAATGATGTGATTAAACTCTGTAATTGTTTTGATATAATGTACTTAACTTCTGTATGGTGACACTGGAAGTCAGATCTCACAGGAAAGCACTATAAATTCTCAAAGTGGGAAATGTTATACTGATGATTTTTTTTCCTATTTTGATAGATTGTGCTGATTAACTTCAAAACTATTTTCATATGATAATTCTTCCCAAAAAAAAACATGAAGTTTTCTCTTGATTAACCCCTTAATAAACTTTCTTGCTATCAGTACTTCCTTAAAAAAAAAAAAAAGACCTTCTGCATACTGATTCATACGAAAAAAACAAATAGAAGACAATGTATTCACTACAAAAGTTGCCACCCTATACCCATCCTAAACAAAATATCACCTACAGTTAAACTCTCCATATTAGGAAATTATGTATTAATTAAAACAATCTACAAAAATGTTATGATAAACCATAACAGGAGGTAGTTATGTAACTCCGAAATTGCTAAGAAGATTGATAAAGCTACATGTGACATCACTCAACAAAAAGTGGACTGAAACAGCCCCATGTAGCATCATACTGAAGTTTTCCTTTCATTACCTACCTTCCTAAACCCCAAAACATAAGTACTCTGAAAAAATTCCCTTTGCTCCTACTCAGTGATCTTTAAAATAAAAAAATCATTAAATATTTGTTGTTTCCTCCCATAAACACAAAATCCTTAAAGATGTTCTAGCTTATGATACAGTTAATTTCACAGCACTATATATACACTTGCCACCACTAAAACTTGCGCATTTATCTTTCTTTACTGTAGGCTGCTGTCCAATGATTGCAAGCCCACATCAATTTTATTTCATTCAGTTTATAATAAATAGGCATACATACCTGTCAGATATGAAACCAAACACAATACTTCCAACACTTGTTCCCATGTAGAACAATGTCTGAGCCAAGTAGGGAAGTCTGTCATCTTCACACACCCAGTTTAACTGGAATGTGAAACATATTCAGCACGTTCTGATGATACATATAGATGTACATTCATAATATCAAAGAGATGAAAGATTAAGTTGCATATTATAAAATATGATGGTATTACTTATACATATGTATAAAATTCTAAAAGAAGAGTGTTTGTATACCATATAAATTGATCTTGTAGTTTTTGTATTAACTGGTAACTAGATCTTTCCTGCAGCAAAAGGGACAAATTCAAATATGTTTACACTTGTCAATGCACATGTTCATCATCTATGCCTCAATACATTTTAAGTCTGATGAAATTTAAAGTAAAATTTAAGAAGAATAAAACTATATAGGTATAAGAAAAATACTTTTAACAATCAAATTTTGCTATATTACAAATAAATTAAGTATACATAAATACAAACTGCAGGAAAAGTTTAATGCATGTACACCTATCATATGCTTTACTATAGGCTTTATTTACATGTTTCAAAAGTAGGAAGAATAATTTTATCGCATAATATTTTATCACTAGGTTAATACTTTCTCTGAGTATATTTTTTTCAACCTTGGCAGAACTTCTGAAATTTACAGAAAGCTGATTATACATTATAACATGAAGATTCTGATACGTAAAATCCACTCACAGTTGTATTTACATGTACAGTGTGTGTGAGATCTGCTGCACAAACTGTACTTAATTTGATAGACAGTTGACAGAAATATTAATTTGATTATCAGATACAATAACTTTAATCTTTGAAAGCAAGTCCAAATGCAGCCTTGATCTTGAACAAAATCATTTTTTTAATTTTAAAAACTAGTAGAATGATTTCCTGATGATGTGGTATGTTACTACAATGTATTTTAAAGTTTTGAATACATTTATTAGATATGCATCTAGAAGTTAATAGCTTGAATGACTACAGTAAATTTGATATTGTTTTGTAAGGTGGAGGATGACTTTGAAAAGGCTGAACAGCCTTCTCCCACTTTGTTTTCAATTCTAATGAAGAAATACCTTTAATTATGAAATGTATATTTTTTGTACCAAATGATCGTTCAACACCAATATTATTTCACAAGTAACCATGCTTTTGGCACTACAAAGCATACAACTTTTTTATTATTTAAATTGTTTTTTAAACATTAAAACTTATATATAACTGTATTAATATATATATATATATATATATATA